AAATGAAATCATTCATGTTAACAAGACTATACGCGTCATATGGATATATTACAGTATAACAAAACTTGAAAAGGCGATCTGGCACCTTTAATTAATAATATATCAGTTACTTTTCATGGTAACATATTATATTATTAATAGATAAAAATGTTTAAATTTTTGAGTATTCTTTTTTGAACATGGCTTGAACTTTTCATTTTTATGATATAATTTTTTTCGGATATCACTTACTTTTTAGAGTATAAATATATCACAAATATATAAAAAAATGATTTAAAAATATTAAATAACGAAAGAGAGTGAAATACGGCGAAAGAGAGCGGAGGTGAGGTGGATGGTGGGAGAGGAGGGGGGAGGGGTTACGGTGGGTCGAAGATGGTAAAGGTGTGAGTGAAAGGTGAGAAGGGATGTTAGAAAGTTTTAATACGGCCTTGAATGTGGACAGAGAAGAAGAAGGAGAAGGAGACGTTTCTTAATTTTTCATTAAAATCATCACTTTTCGACCGCTTGTATCTCCAGAACGGCTTGACCGATTTTAAATTTTTTTGCTCAAATTACTCGTGGGGATACCGCCTTTCAGGACATATAACGTTCGATTCAAAATTTTTTATATTTTAGTAGTTATGCACCCCCGGAAAAATGGATTTTGGTGGCTCGGGATAAGAGACTCGTAGTGGCCTTCAGTTTTTGAACATTTCCGGAGACACTACCGCGTCTCCTGATGTAATAAAAATGTTCAATTTGATTGGGATGTACATATATTGTATGTAATTTTATAATTTGCATCATTTTGCAATTGCATATATATGTAAAATTTTATCTTCCAAATGTATAAATATTAGGAGAGAATGTCCTAAATTGGACCGTGTTCCAAATCGGGCTTTTTAAATTTAAATAAATACGATTAAGCAGTGTGTGCTATTTATAATATAAAATCCTTATGAGACACCGAACATGTGACAGCAGTTTGGCAGTACTCTGTCATAACATTCATAGAATAGACGCAACTATATATTTTCTCTTATCATGCAAAAGTTTTACTTTAATTTTTTACTATATTTAAGCCATTCTATAGCAATATCTCACTAATTTTTGGATAAACAACTGTTATTTCCTGTTTTCTAAAGGCAAACAATGATTTTTCAAGATTTATTTAAATGTTATACTTTATTGTGGGGATATCAAAATCGACACCTTTTTTAACAGTTTGTTACCTTTACTTTTGTAAAATCGAAATAATTGCTTTACATGTTAAACAGATGTTTTCGATCACATGTCGATGAAAAATATTGTATTATTCGACATTTTGTATGGGACGAAGTTTCTGCAAAATCGAAATTAAAAAAAATTTTTTCCTAATTTTTGGAAATCTTTCCCTTCACTTCTTGTTAGTTTTGCTTGTCTAGTCTCTTCTATGTATCGACGTCACTTTTTCATCGAATAAACTTGAAGAATCATGATAGGATATGTGATCAAATGGTTCTATAGCAAAAGTCAAGTAGTGCCAGCTGTGTATTCACGTGCGAGATCACATATCGGGAATAGATCAGTTTAGACAGACACAGCTTTTAAAGTTCATACTTTAAGGATAAAACAATTAAACAATGTGTTTCTAAGTTAAGACTTTAATTATAATCGATAAACTTATAGAGTTTTCACGGATCTTTATTATAATTTATATGTATGATCTCCCCAATTTATTCATATAGTATTCTATTTGATTTTTACAATCATCATTAAATGAAGAACAAATCGCATGATTAAACATTTCGAATGTTTACGTTATTAGTAAAATAATATCTAACATTTTTTGGAGGGAATTTTTGGAAATGGCCCGTTATACACTACTAAAAAAATTAAAGGATCTCTTGTTCTACCCTGTAAAAATAGGCTAAGATAGAATAACTTCGTCAAAAATCATCATATCGAGATTTTTAAAAAAGCATTTTAAAGCTTAAAATTTCTACTTTTCAGATCTGCACTTAAAAGACCGTATTACTGATATTTCATAAAGTTACACAAATATAAATGAAGATGCATCAGATTTCAAAAGTTTTTACAAAATTTGCGAAATTGCGGGGCTAAGTTAAAATTATGCACAAATGTGATTTACAGCTTTCGAAAGAGTACATCTTTACCTTTAATTTGTTTCTTTATCGACCTATGTACGATTTTTTTTCTCCGAGTTATTTAACGTTGAAGCAAAAAGGTCATTTCAACATTAAATAATTCGGAAAAAAAATTGTACAGATGTCAATACAAAAACAAATTAAAGGTAAAGATTTACTCTTTCGAAAGCTGTAAATCGCATTTGTCTACAATTTTTAATTGGCTCCGTGGAACTTCGCAAATTTCGTAAAAAATTTTTTATTTAACGCACTTTTATTTGTTTGTTTAATTTTATGAATATCAGTAAGACCGTTTTTTGATGTATCGGTCTGAATAGTAGAGATTTTAAGCTTTAAAATATTTTTTTAAACATCTCGATACGATGATTTCCGACGAAGTTATTCTATATTGTGTCTATTTTTGCAGGGTGAAACAAGTAATTCTTTAATTTTTTTAGTTGTGTATTATATTATTATAACACAAATTATTTTACGTAATTCAAGTATACATGTTGTAATAAAAATTATGTTTACGATTCTCTATTGAAAAAAATCACGTTACAAAATTGCATAATAAAATCATGTAATTAAAACGAACAAATTACGGAATAAATCGTTTCAAAACAGTACGTTACTTTTTTAAATCACGCAATTTGAAAGTCACATATGATGATATGTTTTTCTTTCTTCTATTTCTATCATTCAATTATTTAAAATTCGACAATTTGATAAAATCACATAATAGACAAAATAATTTCCATATTTTTAATATCATGTGATTTTTCAAATTACGTAGAGTTGCGTACTAATTTAAAACAATACGTTTACGTGATGTACTTATTTTAATTATATGATTTTGTTATGTTAAACATATTATTTTGTGACGTGATTTTTTTCAGTAGGGTTACATAAAACATTACAAAACGAAGGTATAATTCATCAGCTTTAAAATTTATTTATTCAACTTTAATTTAGCTAAAATATTAAAAATTCGCGCTCACGAGATCGATAAAAGTCTATCATTTAATTGTAAGGGATCGGTCTCAAACGAAAAAGCTCGCTCACACTTGATTGGTTGGAGATAGAATCAAATTAAAACTTCGTATTATTATCTCGCCAAGTCTTGATCGTCGCTACCAACCTTAATTTTCTGTTTTCAATTTTGCTGCATCTGACTCGTCGATAACGAAAGAAGAGAAGAACTTTTGTATTTTATAAGTGTCGTATCACACTCTCCATTCCTCTTTTTCTTTTTAATATTTTTTGCTACTACTGATACAGAAACCTACAGATTACAACCTACAGGTGTCTATAATGACTAAATAAGTGTTAAAAATTTGAGAGTCAAAAAACATTTTATATTAAAGTTAAAGGATAATGATGAAAATGTGGAAACTTATATTGTTCTATATACAAAGATGTATATGTTTAACTTTTCATTACTTGCAACTAGAAAACTTAATTGCTATTTGATAAAAAAATTGTCAAGTCTTACAATATACATATAAGTTACAATCTTTCTGTCTTTGTTTATATAAAAAAATTTATATAAACCTATTTAGTAGAAAATTTATGATTATATTATGCGTGTAGTCGTTGCAAAAAAGATTTGTGAAACTGAATGTTGTCAAATTTTATTGAGGTTTTCAAATCTTGTTTTATTATGTACATATAAAAATAAATATTTGATAATAAAAAATCTGCATGCAGTGATAGAGTAAGATCATATTGATATGAACATATGTGACGTAATGATTTGTTTAATTGTAAAGATTAAATTTGGTGACCCTGAAACCGCAAGACGTGGAAATCGTAATATGAGATCAGGATATTCCTAATATATAAGAGCACTTAAACAATTCAATATTAGAAAGCGCACTATCGAACGATATGTTAACAATGACAATTCTGTTGTTGTAAAAATTCCTTTCTCACATACACACAGTCATACACATACCCATACGCACACACACACACACACACACACACACACACACACACACACACACACACACATGAAAATTAATCAAACTATTTTACATTTTATTGTAATTTTATTAATGAATGAGAAAGATGTACATATAATTCTTCGAAATATAATGTTGTTTCACAACTATCATATTTTTAGGGTAAACTTTAAGAAAAAATTCTATCCGATATATTCTTGTTTTTCTACATCAACTAAATTGTGCTCTATGAAAGGAGAATATTGTTATTCACATTATTCAAATCATATTTATATGTACAATTTTTCGAGCTTCTAAAACATTAATTAGATTAATCTTTATCAATAGGAACTCGTTTTGCCCGAATTCGGATTTGAATTGAAACTCTTGCAGATTCTTTCTCTTTCTGTACAGTATTAACTGATTTACTGATAAATTTGGATCAAATTGACAGAGTTGAAATTATCAATCGTGTAATAGAATTATAATCCGTCAACTATAGGCCGAAGTTATGCATCATTATCAGTATTTAAAAAAATTTTAATAAAACTATATTTGCGAAATTAAATCATGTAACACTGTTCAATTACATATAAATTGAATTATATATAAATTAGTTTAATTATATATAAATCTACATTTATTTTTATCGGACAATTGATATCAAATATTAGAATACAATATCGTTTGTACATGAGAAACATTTCCCTCAGAACTTGATGATTTTTTTATAGCTTTCTTTCTGATGTGAATGTATTAATTAGACTATACACAGACATATATATTCTTGAATAAAGTTTGAGACAGATACTAGATATACTGCTAGATGGATAGATGGATACGTATGGATCGTAGATGAAAGTATGGAGAAAGTGTTTCCATCTGTTTTAATGTCAATTATAAACTTTATAAAGATGATAAACATCGTAAAGGCATGAGTACTCACGAGTATTATCGTAAGGTATTCCGTTAAGCTCGTCGAAGCAGGGGATAGTAGCCAAGGTACCGGATATCGTTCGAGGCCAGCATAGTATGGTGTCCCAGCTCATTTCGCATTCTTGCTGTTCCTGCTTCTGGTTTTCACGTTCCTGTTGGCGTTCAAGACACTTGTGCTGTTCAGCACTGAAAGACTCGTTCAGTTCGTTAATATAGTTCAAAGCATTCAATACGTAATTATTGCCGCCAACCAGCGGCTTTGTGCCGTTCGTAGGAAACCAGGCCATGTCCGATCACTGTGTTGACCTCTCTCGTAGCGTTATTCTTCCTACTGAGCTGTCTCGACTCGAGAAAACAAATGTATCTAGAAAACAAAAAGAAGAATTCCTCTAAAAATCTGTAATATCTTATTAAAGTATACTTGAGCATAAAAGTATAAAAGTTTAGACACACGGTAAAGCCCACCAAAGTTGGGTGTTTTTGACAATATAATTTGCTCAATTAAAATTTATTCAAGAACTACCGGACCTGAAATTTTTGGAAAAATTATAATCTTGCGGAATATACAAGCAAACATTTTCCGATGTGTGAATGAAAAAAGAATAAATACGGATCGCTTGCGACGCTTGTGAAATTTGGTTAGAGCTCGACTTGATTTCGACTCCGAAGTTCAGCTCGATAATTTCGGTTCGAAACTCATCAGCTCGAGGCACGGCTCGGCTCGACTCGAGGGCTCGGCTGGCGGTTCGCGGCTCAGCTCGCGGCTCGCGCCTCGGCTCGAAATTCAGCTCGCGTTTCGGCTCGATAATCTAGACACACCTTAACAATATTTGAATGTTGCTTTTACATTCCGTAATCATTTTTAATATTCCGAAATACTCTTGGAATATTATATTTTAGGATTTTAGAAACATTTTATAAATATGTAGGTACTTTAAGAATATTTTTTATAACGTTAGCTGGAGAGATACTGTTCTATTAATTGTTACGGACTTTCGGAATCTAACATCTATAGGTATATGTGCTCGTTGAACTTTTTGCACAAAAAAGTTTCCGCACGAAATGCGTTTCGAATGTCATCCAATAGTTATTGTGCAAAGTCGGTAAGTTCAATAAAAAGACGTAAGAGCTTTTTGTTACTAAGTTCATTTATAGTTTAGTAATGTCGAAACTATTTTCCACGTATGTAATGGATGGAGAAACTTTTCCATAAATTGCTCGTTTATACAAAGTAAAACATATGTCGATCAAAAATATAATATATATATATTTCACGTACATATAATTTCATACCTTAAATATATTCGTCTCGCATCTCTCTCTCTCTCTCTCTCTCTCTCTCTCTCTCTCATCTTAATAGAGTATAAATATGAGACACAATGTATGAACTTTTATTGTGCTAAATAATTTGATATAAAATGATCTATAAATATATATATATATATTAAATTTTCGTCAATATATATATACAAAATAACAATTTTATTTTTTATTTTTCAAATTTCGTCAAAATCAATTTCGTTTCTAACTCAGTAATAGAGGAGGATCCTGTTTGCTTAAAAATCGATTGCCAGCACGTTTTCTCACATCTCATTTACCTGTAGATATCGAGTGCCTACAAGCAGTTTTGCGCATAAATAAAAATTTCAGAGCAAAGTCACATTTGCCTACGTATCGTGTATTATTGCTTATAGTTCGATTGCCTACATCCAATTAAACATTTGCCTACAAGCATTTCTGCGCACAAATATAAAATTAAGAAATAAAGATATACATTTACATACATGTATTATTGCCTACAAGTACTATTCTCTCTGCTTTAAAAACACAAATGCTGTTTTAAAATACGAATTTTATTTGTGCATAAAAGTACCTGTAGATGATCGAGCTGTAATTAATAATACATGTAGGCAAATATGTAACTTTGTATCTGAAATTTTCACTTGTACGTTAAAGTGCATGTAAGTAATCGATCTGTAGACAAAAGGAGTCCTCTCTACTAATAGTGATAAATTTGAAGAAGATTATAACAATAAACTCAGTAAGTAAAATAAGTTCTAAATTAAGACGTTTTCTGTTTAATTAGAGAGATACTTTTAATTAGAAGAATTATATGTACCATATATCTTATAAATGCGATGTCTCTTAACTTATCGTCGTTTGCAAATTTTGTGGTTTCATGTTGATCTATTAGTAAATGCATTAAATACATGCCATGGCCTTTTTATCCGCTGACATATGCTTAATCTTTGAACTGAGAGCCAAGGTATTTTCTTCTTTCTGACATGTAATTATATCTCCTTTGCGTCGACCATGAAGAGTAAAATTTTTCCGCGAGGAATATACACTTCTTGAGAAAGAGAAGTTATATGATATATGAGATTCTTGGGGCAAATTTTATGGTAATTTTGCAAAATATCTGAGAATTTTATTTGTCATATATTTTTTTTCACATTCCATTCACTTAAAGATCATTGAATTGTATTGGGTAGAATATCGCGACTTGACTTTCTCCGCAATTTCTCAATACACTTTGAGGTACGAGATCCGTGCTTGGATCGACTGTCAAACGGTTACGCGATCATCCATCACGAAGCTCTTGCAGGTCCACGAAGATGCCACTTTGGAACTATTAGACGAAGCTCTTGGATGTTCGAAATCGATAATATCGATATATAGTTATAATAGTTTACCACAGACGCAAATCATCGTGATGGAAGCTGCAATGGGACAATTCGCATTCTCTCATTATTCGGAAAATACCTCTCACTTGTAGGTAATTGAACATTGCAATTTTGCAAGAGGACAACACCGATCAAATATTCCGAGCTTATTAAACTTGATCTCGAGATACAATTGTCATTTAATACTATAGCCTTTTATGCTTGTGTAAATCAACATAACATACACATATGCGTTCACTTAAACTGTATATGCATATATTTCTTTTATAATATATTAAATATTTTTTCGATAGAAATAAATCGATTGCTTTAATTAGATATTTCTAACAAGAGGAACAGTTGACAATAATAATGATATGAAATTTATTAAATCACAAATTTTTGTTTTAACTATTTACCTTTTCTTTCTTTACTGTAACACCTCCTTGTTACAATGAAGAACTTGTTTAAAGAAATGATATGATTTATAAAAATTAAAAAAGTAACAATCGTTTTTTTTTTTAACAAATTTTTGAATGTAAATGTAAATTTGTAAATATACTTTGAATTATATGTTTGCTTTTAAAGAAACTGTATATATTGATATATGTATTGTATCACTTTATTATAATATATTCTCTCGTCGAAAGATTGTAGATCTTGCAATTTTATCCTTTGCAAGAATATCCGTGCTCCTCTCTTCCTAATTTTCGAAACGATATACTCAGCCCCTCTGGCTTCCGTAATCTTCGTGAAGGACGCGTTACTTATGATTAGATAGTACTCTAGGAATGAGTTCCGGATCGCTAATTTAAAAGTGATTATTTATCGCGGTGTACTTAACAGGGAGATTTATCGGCGATTTAACCATTTCGACATTGTCAACCCTCGATGAATACATGCAGAGGCGAATTCCCTTATTGCTCAAGAGAAGAGAAATAGATTATAGTGTTAACATGAGTACATACTTATATTATGCAAATCTCGACTATTCGCAAAGACGATATTGCTTCTAATATCATTATAGTGTATGTAACAGATTACACTGTATGTGTTAGAGCAATGATTGCTAAATAGTTCTTTATGATTAACGTTTCAATCCTTTATGATTAACGTTTCAAAGCGAGTTAGTTGACATAGTTGCGTCGCGTTATTAATGCAATATTATGTTGCTATACCTGCACTATGGCATAGATTATACTGTGTGAATTATACTTTATGCTATAGAGAGTACGTTTCATTTATTACATTATATTTTACAACATAATACGCCGTATACATTTTATATTATACATTTAAGCATTCCTTTCTGTGGAAGCATATGCTTTTAATATTGTACCGTCGCGTCGTCGCATTTCTATTAACTAACGATGACACGCGACTACCAATCGCTAACACGTGTTTCGGAAAGAACAGCCATTATATACCGATCACCTTTGTTACTTGTATAAGTTGCTTGGTGCACAACAACATCGAGAAATCGGTTTTACTGCGATTGCGTCCGCGTAATATTTATATTATAGTCAAACCACAGTTGGCACAATTCTAATTTTTGTAATATACATAGTTTTGCGTTATATTCACTTTTATTTTTTTTAATTTTTATTTTTAATCGCTTGAAAGTCGTAGGATCTTTGACAGTTTTTAAAGAGAAAGATCAACTTGATGAAATTCAAAGAATTATATTATAGCGTCTAGTTTAAATAGATAGATTTAGTGAGGGATATGTTTTCTATATGCTGTGTAGTCTAATTCATTTCATTACTATTTATAAATATTAAATCTGACAGTTATATCAATTAATGTAGTTTTCTTTATAGATACGTAACAATAATAATAGAATGAAAAAATTGAAATATATTAGAGAGATATACATACATGTAAGCGACGTAAGACTCTCGTAGAAGACTGAATTTCGGTATGTATAATTTCTTTTTAATATTTTTTACGCAAAGTATCAATATATATAAAATATAATTGTATCAATTTCAACAAAGAATGGTACGTGCACGGTCGTTCTTGCTCCGATATGGATTTTCTAGGACGGTACAGCCTAGAGCCGATGATGACGACTGAGCTACTACAGGAGCGAGTACAGGACAAGGAATAAGTACAGATGAGCATGCGCCATGATGCGCCACTCTGTGTTCGCGGATTCTCTCCATCCTACCCTACCTTCGCGCGGAATATTGTATCCATGATCGTCAACGGGGTTGCCAGAAACGTTAATCCGCCTTATCGAGGCAGTAGATAAAAAAGGTTTCTATTTAAATGTACGTGTCTGATCAAAATTAATTTCATCGAAAATTTGCAACTTGCTCATATTATTTATACGTAGAATCTGCGCTCCTGCCTAATTACGAGTATATCAATAACGAAATAGTCCACAAAATACAAAATATAAAAAAATGTAAATTAAATATTTAAAAAAATATTTAGAGAAAAAAGAGAAACAAAAATTGTTATATTTGGACAGGAATTTAGAATCATCATTATTCAACATTATGCAACATAACTTTTATTAATAATAATATAACTATAGTAATAACTTTTTGTGATATATAATTTAATTAATTTTAACAATACATTTAAAGAATGCTGTACTAAGCTGGTACAATATACATTTAGATGATTGATTAAATAGCCGCATGTCGTTTATATGTTTACACG